AAACTGAACCACAGGAAGTTCCACCTAAACCTGAGAAAAAACTTCTTCACTGTGAGGGTGACAGAGCACTGGAAGAGGTTGCCCAGAGAGGTAGTGGAGTCTCCTTCGCTGGAGATATTCAAAACCCGTCTGGATGTGATCCTGGGCAATATGCTCTAGAGGTCCCTGCTTGAGCAGGGAGGTTGGACTAGATGATCTCCAGAGGTGCTTCCAACCTAAATGATTCTGTGATAATTTTATATACAGCTCTCTATATTTATTCCTAGTGACAAAAGTTACTTTTAAAAATCTCTTCCTCTTCAGATCTGCTCAATAAGCAAACTGTTCAATATATATTTTCAGGAATATTTTCAATATATCACTACTTATAAATGATAACATGAAACATTTGTAACAAGTGGAAATTACTTGAATTAGGTTAACTATAAATCTGATTTTACTACAGTTAAAAAGCATTTCAATTCACCTCTAAAAGCAAATTCCGTACCACAATTCAACTCAGGCAATTCTGTACATACTTCTTGCCTATAAAATATGACGCTGTAATTTTAAATTGTTCCGAACGACTCATTAATCCCCATATGTGTATTATCATATTAAAAAACAAAGCAGGCAAGATCATATACAAAACTGAACTAGTTTAACTGCAAAAGCCATCTGTTATTCAATTTCTATGTTGCTTCAAAACTGGACAAAGAGTTCCAGAGATTTTATGCTTCATTTCTTTCACATGTCTTCACAGTAATATAAAATGCATTTTCTGTATTCAATGTACTCAATTATTTGGAAGGTTTGTCATCTTTACTCATAACAAATGTTAACCTACTATAAAAAGAATTCCAAAGATTTCACTAGGACAATTGATTGTATATGAATGGTAAAACTTTGCTACTACAGCTTAGCTATCTGATATTTTGTTAATAAATAAATGCCCCACAAACATTCATAATTTATACAACTGTCACCACTTTGCTTACCAAGTACAAGCTGAAATAACTTTTTAACTTTTTCAAGGTATAAACTAAGCAGAAATTTTCTTTTTTCTTCCATGCTATTAAAAGATATTTCTATATAATTGAAAACATGTCTACTGCTAGAGAACCAGCGTTCTTTTAGGAGCGTAGTCACTGCATGTATTCCAGGGAGAGATGTACATACACCAAGCATCTAAGATCGGAGATTTTTGCTAATTACAAGTACCGTAACTATCCTTGCTATCCTATACAACTTCGTACTGTACCAAGTTCAACAGAATGTTATATAGGATGTAGTGAGACCACATATGTAGATGTCTAAAATATATTTAGCATAGGAATACAAACAACGGCATATGCGACTCCCAAGCAGCAGGAAGGCATGCCTGGTATTTTGTGGACTACCAAATAAGATTAACATGTGTCAAGGATAGCTATGGCATATATGTAGATTAATGGATTTCTAGCAAAAACCTCTGGGCTTACATTCATGAAACAAACAACGGAATACAGTCAAGGACAAACACCCAAGAACCATTACTCTAGACACCTGCTATTACTGTCAACCTAGCGCACATTTCTACTAACAAAGGAGCAATAGATAATTTAATCATAATTAGTTTTGACCATTAGGATAATTTCTCCCTTCTTTCCTATTATTATCAGACTGTGGTTTTCTACTGAACACGTGAAAATTAGGCAAAGTGACATAGAGACTTGTGAACTTGTTTCCAAGTTCAGGCTGACAATGTACCTTTCTTGATCTGACAAATACTGACTATCCATGTCTCGGGATCTGTAATCAGCTGGACTTCTGGAGGCATCATGGTGTCTAGTTGGAGAGCGTGATCTTCTCATTTGATGAATTTCATCTAAACTCCTGAAAGACAGACATACATATCAAAATATCATTTGTCCCATAAATAATATATCTTAATGGATTACAGTACAAGTCAGTTGGAGGAATTCTTTAATTTGTAAATTGTTAATATATAACTTTTTAAAAATAGTGTTTCCTGTAGAAAAAAATCCCTCTTAAAGTATAGAGAGCAGCCATTTCTGCCTTTTTCAGAAGAATGTGTCTATTCCACTGATGGACTCAGAAAAAGTATTTTTAATGCCTGTACTTAAAGAATAACTGAGAAAACATAAGAACTGATAATACTTCACATCAAATTAGATGAAAATCAAATGAATCTATGAATGTTGATTCATGGCTAGATTTCTAAAGGGCTTATTCTGGGCTGTAAACTTTTGGCAGGTATCTACAAGTGTTCTTTAAGAAATACTGGCATGGGATATGGGATATGGAAATTTCCAGCAGACTTTATTAATCCCAAACTAAGTGTCATAGAGAAGGGAAATAATTCTATACAACCTTAGGCAGGATCTGACCTCCATAACCAGAATTTAAAGCTCTCTTCATAAGGAACAAAATAAGAGAAGAAACCACTCATTTCTTGAAGGGTAGATTCTGCCTTCAGTGTAATAACTGGCACTGGAGCAAGATGCTTTAGTTTTACAAAGCATCAAACTAAAAGGATGGTGGAATCGATTATCAAATATTTTGTGTGTTGTGCTCACAGACAGAAAGATGCAGACTTTTTCCAGCAAGAGCACATACATCTGTTTGTAAAAGCAAAAGAGGAACTGTCTCATTCTTTCAACTATAGAAAGAGGAGTAAGTGCCACAGCCTGTTTTATGTACAGCCATACCCCTCTATCTATCTACTGAGGATGCATTACTGAAAAGTGCAACTGCTAGTGATATACAAAAATACTCCAGTGCCTTCATAGAAGATTCAGCCACTGACTGAAAGCATTTCTGAACCTACATTTTCCTCATGGTACAACAAAGAAAGATGATGAATCACAGGGAAAATATCAGTAAGAAGAGTTTTACAAGGTTATGATTAAGAATTCATTTCTTGGGTGCTCTTGAGTGATTAATCAGAGCATGCTTCAGGTTCAAATGCTACACTATTGAATTAAGATACCAAAAAAAACCCAGTATCATGAAAAAATGGAGACTTGCTGAACATGAGAAAATGAGGAACATGAGGAACATGAGGAACCAGTGATATATTATACAACTTCAAACTTCAGCACTCAGTGCTTCATGATGCCTACCTCTGTAATGGCACATTTGGTAAACGTGAACGGGTCCTGCCCTGATCGTCGCCACGGTGAGGAGATACAGATCGTGAACGATGATGGGTTGTTCTTTGCTGTTCTGGCACAGTTAGTGTTGTAGATTTACTTTCTCTAGAACTAGATCTATAACCTACTGGTAAGAGGGCAACAAAAGGAAATTAGAGAATGAAAGTCTGGGTTTGCAAAGAATTCCAATGGTTAGTCCTTCCAGGAATACACATCTAAATGTTCACATAACTTTCAAAAAATCATTCAGCTGTTGGATATCCTGACATATCATGCAGTCAGGACAAATTACTTGCATCACTTTTAAATGTCTATATGTACAGAGGCAGAGAAACTGAGATGACTTTCACTAAGTACTAGAAGATGAGGAGGAGAAGATTGAACTAGGTTTCTGACTTGGGGAACAGTACCCAGAGTAACTTACATTCCAGAATTCTCATACAGTAGTGAACTTTTGAATGGAATCTAAGCAATGCAGGTTTATTTCATGTAACACAGGGAGACGGCATCCCTGTGAGGGCATCCACAGAGACTCATCCAGCACTGCTCATACATAAAGTGCCCTTCTGACTTTTGCTTCAGCTTAAAAGAAAGACGTTCTCCTGCT